ACCTTCTTAGGAACCATGAATTTCGGCATATTTTTCTTGCAAAACTCCATGATTTCTTCTTCCTTGGTTGGGTTTTTCAACACAACGAAAGCACAGGGAGTTTCTCCCCATCTTGGGTGTGGCATTCCTACCACCGCCACTTCCAATATGTTGGGGTGGTTGAATAGAACCGATTCCAGTGTTAATTTATTAACCTTATTACATCATTTTCTTAACCATTTTTCTTTGTTTTATTTGCTCATTAGTGTCTTAGTTGAGTCTTTTTACGTCATTTTCATATATTAGTAGTAATATAACATATCTAATGTTAATCCCCTGTTTATGCAGGTTTTTGATGATTTTTGGGCCAAATCTTACAGCAGTCCTGTAGGATCAGGTGTGGCAGAATCCTATAGCACCTGTCCATGAACTGCACTTTTGCCTGGGACAAGAATTCTTGGGCTGATTCTTAGTAGATGCGTGGTCAACGACCTTGGGCCCGGTCAAATCCCATTTTTGAAGCTCCTTTTGTCTTATTAGGTGGCTCCCATTGTGCAAACTCCCTTAGTCTATAAATAGAGGCTTAAGGCTTTGATTTTAAACACCCACTTACTTTTACTTAATTTCTCATTTGTTTATTCTCAAATCTTTGAGTTTTAAACATTTGCTCTCTAGAATCTTGCTTTCGATATTTAAGTTTTCGGTTTTCTTGCTTTCAACCAAGAACCGATTTTTGTGAAATGTGATTTCGTTCTCAAGTTTAATACAAGTGCTCGTATTTAATCTTCATCTCATTTCTGTTTTTATTTCCAAGTTACGTTATGTTTTCTGACTTTTGTTACAAGTTACGAATTAGTCGATCTATGTTGCTTTACACTGGATTTCATCCTTTGTGAGTCACGACTAATTTACATAGACTAAATAATCTGATTTTAAGAGTTTGCATGTAACCTTTTCGTCTTTGTAACGAAACTTGTTTTGCAAGTTTTGTTACTTGTCTTGCAAGCTTCCTCAAAGTCAAACTCTATTTTCAAGGCTTTTGTTAGTCATTTCTCCATCTCATCAAGTACTTGTCATACATCATGTCTTAGATTAATATTAATTAATAATATTTAGTTACTGATAATTTAATTTCAGTCCTTTACATTTCAGTCTTTATATTTCAGTCATTTACATTTCTATCTTTACTTTACTGCAATTTACATTTCTGTCATTTAATTTCCAGCAATTTACTTTTAGTCATTTAATTTCCTGTACTTTAAATTCCAGTATTTTCATTTCTTGTAATTTACTTTCTGCAATTTACTTTCTGCAATTTACTTTTCCGTATCAGTTTTTTATCTTTCAGTCCTTACATCATTCGAGAGAAGAAACCAAGCGATGATGGGCTAACGCCTTAGCTTGGGGTGTAACGGGAAATTAAGATCAAAGCCGATGTGAAAGTACAAAGGTGTCTTATTAGCATTATAGTCTGCTATTTATTTCAGGTGCTTAATATTTCATTTGATGATTACATTAAAATTAATTGACAACTAATTTTGTGTATAAAAATGTATTGACTTTCAAAACCTGAGGTAATAGGRGAAGGCTATAAATAGCTTTAATGTCTGACAAACGCTATACTCCTACGGTGTAGGATGGTAACACTGTGTTGTGCTATGATTCACGATGTCTAACATAAATGATATCGTATCGATAGCACGTTGACCGTTGTGTACTCTTGGGAGGCCGTCTAACCCGATAGTTGATATTGTCATAGTTATATAAAATCATCTATTGATTTTAGATAATTGTGACAGGAATCCTATGTCACTTTTTTGCTGAATCATTTGTTTAATATCTTAATCAACTGTTGCACCATGTGCTTCTTCTTAAGACTGATATTTTCCTTAGTTGTTAATCAAACCACCCAATTTTAGATAAATCAAATCCCTCGATTCGCCATCTGAAACTAGTTTTTATAGACTGGACTTTTGAAATAACTTTACAAGCTATCTCTGTGGGAACGATATCTGGTATTTTACCAATATTACTTGTTACGAGACGACAGTAGTTCAAGGTGTATACTTGCGCCGAGTTCTATTTTTGTGTTGAAATCTAAGGTTGAATAAACCGACGAGCAATAGATGCTTACCAACAACCTATTTTGATGGCCAAAAAAGTTATCCGATAAAGTAAGTGATGAACGTTACTTTTGTTGATAAGTGTTTCCCTTTTAAGTTCGAGAACAAATTATTTGTATTCCATCTATACACCAAAATGATACATGCACCCAAACCAAAGAAAAAAAAATAGTTAATTAAAAATGATACGATGGTTTTAACAATCATTTGCAAACTGTATTTGGATTCAAATACGAGACATTGCAATAACCTTTTCCTCATGTTGGTTGTACCAAGATCGGTCCCTTACAGACGACGATGACGATGACGA